AATCATTGTCTGGCAATTATAGTTTAATTTAATATGAACAAAAGTCAATGGCTATGAAGTAGTTGGCTTAGAAAAAAGGGACAGTCTATGGAATTTATCTTCCCACAGTTATACTGATATTACAAAAAGCTAGAACTTATTTTATTATAGTGTTGTAAACTCATTTAGGTGAGATGGGCAGTATAAAAATTTAATTAATAAATGTTCATATTGATATATCAGGTTTCTTTTATTATCTGAGCTTAAGGGAATACAACATTTGGTATTTACACATATATGCATGAGCAGATTTTTGTTTAAATCATGCATTCAAAACCAAAAGTCCTTTTTCTCAGTTTTGCCAGTCACAATTCTCATTCATTCTTGGGTCTACAAATGGCATAACGACTTAATTTTTTAAATATTATCTAGTTTTATCATAGCATCCATTCATATCTTCTGAGCATTTTTGGTTCTTTCATTATCATTCACTGGAGTACAGCAATGCAACTATGACCAACCAATAGATTCCTTCTTTCTAATACTCACAAGGACCTAGATGACACCAATTTATTATTTCAAGCAAATGTTTAGCCCCCTTTTGTTCATAATTAGAGCTAAACCTACTCATTCCTACATGTATTCAATATCACTCCATGAGACCCGATTGCCTACATTCAGATCTATTATATTATCTCCCTTTCTTTTAGATAAGCACTATTTTTCATTCATACTCCTTATCATTTACTTGTCTTACTATGTGCTAGTGATTTCTATAATTTGTTATTAAATGCACAGAGAAAAACAAAACTAAGTATTGCACCTTTCATTTCAAAATGAAGCATTCTAAGGCGGAAACACTGCATCTTTTCTATGCCAATGATATTTAATAGTTACATAATGCTGAAATCATTCACTGGATTTTACAAAACTCAAAACTGGAAAAGGAAAAAAAACCCTCTTTTTATGGCTTTCTGTCTGCTACTGGAAATCCTCACAAAGAGCTTTTGTGATTTACCAATACTTAGCACAGAAACAGATATCTAAGCACATTCCCTGGGTTCTTCCTCACTACATCCAAAAATGCAACTAGTTTGATGATTCCCTCACCAAGCAAGATCAAATGGCTGCTACTGAGTTTTTTGAGCTTGGTTCAAGTAGTACACAGCACAAATTGTTCTTGCTGTTGGAGGGGATTCCCTGCAATAGTGATTATGTACCACCAGGTCAGGTTTAACTCTCATAGTGATCTCATAGATATACTACAGTGATCTAATACATATCGATTTTACAGAAGACAATGTTGAAAAAGCACTACGCAATCTAAAACCATCTCTATCTATTGGACCGGATGGAATATGTGCCTATTTCTTAAAAAAGTTATCCACTGCCATAGCCAAACCTCTAAGCATAATCTTTGAAAAATCTTTCAGGACCAGTTCCTTGCCTAACCTATGGTCACAAGCCACAGTCATCCCCATCTTCAAAAAGGGAGACCCTTGCCTAGTTGAAAATTACAGACCAATCTCCTTATGCTGCGTCACCTGTAAAGTCATGGAATCAATTATTAACCAATCCATCATCCTCCACTTAGAGACAAACAACCTACTCTCCAATAAACAATTTGGTTTCAGAAAAAAACTATCCTGTAATCTGCAACTCTTACACTGCAAAAACATATGGACTACACAACTCGATCTGGGCAAAACAATAGATGCAATCTACATAGACTTCTGTAAAGCCTTTGATTCAGTGGTACATGACAAACTACTCCTAAAAATAAAATCCTATGATATCTCTGGACAACTGCATAACTGGATAGAAGCATTCCTGTCAAACAGACAACAAATGGTCAAAATTGGGAGTGTCCTATCAAATTCTGTACCTGTCAATAGTGGTGTCCCCCAAGGCAGTGTTCTAGGACCAACTCTCTTCATACTCTACATAAATGACCTCTGTGATCATATTAAGAGCAACTGCGTTCTTTTCGCTGATGATGTAAAGCTATTCAATACCACAGACAATACTGCTACCCTTCAAAAAGATCTTGACTGTGTATCAGAACAGTCAAACAAATGGCAACTTCAAATCTCAACAAATAAATGCTCTGTCTTACATATTGGCAAAAAAAATCCGAAAATAAAATACAAGCTGAATAGTCAAGATCTTGTTGATGATCCAAGCTCTGTAAAGGACCTTGGAATACTCACCTCTAATGATCTAAGTGCTAGAGCCCACTGCAACTACATAGCCAAAAAGGCATTAAGAGTTGTTAACCTAATCTTACGTAGCTTTTTCTCTGGTAATATCACACTACTAACTAGAGCATACAAAACATTTGCTAGACCAATACTCGAATACAGCTCATCAGTCTGGAACCCACATTACGTATCTGATATTAGCACAATTGAGAAAGTCCAGAAATATTTCACAAGAAGAGTTCTCCACTCCTCTACTCGTTGTAGAATACCTTATGCCACCAGACTTGAAATTCTAGAACTAGAAAACCTTGAATTACGCCATCTTCGGTCTGATTTAAGCATGGTATATAAAATCATACATTGCAATGTCCTACCTGTCAATGAATACTTCAGCTTCAACCATAACAACACAAGAGCACACAACAGATACAAACTCAAGATTAATCACACCAAGCTTGATTGCAGGAAATGCGACTTCAGCAACAGAGTGGTCAATGTCTGGAATACTCTACCCGACTCTGTAGTTTCTTCCCCAAACCCCAAAAACTTTAACCTTAGACTGTCTACTATTGACCTCACCCCTTTCTTAAGAGGTCTGTAGGGGGCGTGCATAAGCGCACCAACGTGCCTACCGTCCCTGTCCTATTGTTTCTTTTATTTTTCTTTTATTTTTCTTATATGTACCCATATCATGTATTCATAATTATGTATACACTTATACTTATTATCTTGTAAACAATTGACAAATAAAATAAATAAAATAAATAAATAAAATAAAATATTCTGTGTGAACTCAGTTAATGACAGAAAAATCAATGTAAATATAAAGTTCCAGGAAGTTTTCTTCACAGATTCTAAAATTCAAGCTTGTTCAAATTGTTTTTTTCATGACTGATGATTCCTTCTCTTCTGCAAATCTTGGTTTACAGCTGGGAGAAACTATATTTCATAATTAAAAATTAATTTATTCTGGACATGTACAGAGGCATTCAGTTTGCTGAATATGCCAACATTCAGTCCTAGCAATTGAATTTCTTCATAATCTTAGCTTGAGAATGCAGGGATCCATCATCATTAAAAGTAAGCCAGTTGGGACCTTTCTCCTTGAACATTTGATGGGACAAACTTGTATGTTTGCTTCCTGGCATATGTGCAATCTGATGGTTAACTGGTTTTGTAATTGTTCTGGGGAAGGGTATTTTCAAAATAGGGATACTTGATCCAAAAGATTCATATCCCGCATCTGTAACCCTATCTTTTTCCTGTACGATTTCAAAAATTTCCCCCCTGAGATTAGTAATGACCTACATGCCTTTTTAAAATCTCAGTGCCTTTTATACTGCTTAAAAGAGAATTCTGATGAACTTATAAATCTGTAAATGGGGCTTCCATGGAGATATAGCAAACTGAGGAAGGTTCCGAAAGAGCAGAAACTGGTGAGTAGACAGGTTAGTTGGAATCTCTCCAATAAAGATTGCTCAAGTGTGCTCCAGACAGCTGTTCCTCATGAAATTCTCCAGGTTTGAGCACCAGGAGATGACTAGATCAGTCATCTTGCTGACAATCACAGTGGAGCTTTTAAAAGGCAAGTTTACGTTCAATTCTTACTTTCTAAATCACTTTTGGAAATTACCTATTGATTATCTTAAAGCTCAGAGACCTTTGGAATGACATGTTTGAAAAGTCTTCATCAGATGAATTTAGTTTCAACACGGAGCCAAAAAAAATAATTAAAATTAAACTTGCAAACTTAAAATAATTTAAAATAAACAACAAAAATGTACATATGTATTTGGTCTAGAAAAGTTATAAATAGATTTAAGGGCCCAAATAAATTTGGGATATCTTTACTATAAAGTTTTGGAATTTACTGTAAAAATTAACAACTCCTGGGAAACAGTCTTATTTGGCTATTCTAGTATTGCAAGTTGTAACAAAAGTGATGATTTTAGAAACTGAACACCAGAGGGTACTAAAGATTTTAAACAGAATACTGGCCTGATGTTAGCTAACACATAAACTAAATAAAATGTGGTATATTCTTAACTCTGTGTATGTGTACAGGTCTTACAGATAACCTCTGGTTTACCTTGTCAACTTTTAACTTGGAAATTATACATGAATAACTTGCATTAATTATGTTCAAAGATGCTTCACATACGCATAGGGCCGTGATGGCGAACCTATGGCACATGTGCCACAGGTGGGAAGCAGAGCCAGTTGTGCCATGCAAGCTGCAGGCAAACTTACCTCACTGCACATGCACGTACCTCACAACTGATTTTTGGCGGGCTTGAGCCTTTTTTGGCCTCCCAAAGGCTTGAGGAAGGCTTCTGCAGTCTTCTACAGGCTTTACAGGCCAAAAACTAGCCCCGCTTCATCACTTCCTGTTTTTCCCAAAATACCAGAAGTGATCTAACAGGGCTAGTTTTCGGCCTGCAGAAGCCTGCAGAAGCCTTCGTCAAGCCTTTGGGAGGCCAAAGAAGGCCTCAACCAGGCCTAAACTCAGCTGTGAGGCACAGTGCAGGTAAGGGGGCAGCAAGGGTGGGTGGGTGGCTATTGCACATGCATGTGTAGGGGGCATGGGGGGATGCGCATTGCCTTCTGGATGCTGGCACGCAAGTGCGAGTGTGCAAGCACGTACACAATTTTTGGCACAGGAGCCCAAAAAGGTTAGCCATCACTGGCATAGAGAGCAGAAATGTCCCATTTTTATAGTAACCAGACAATGTGTACGTTTTCCATCATGATTCAAAACAAAAGGGTTAATATTTATTCTTTGATATTTAGTCCTCTAATTTGAATCTTTCTCTGTCTTACCTTCACATCTGCATTAAGATTTTGGAGACACTGGACTGGGTCCAAGGAGATCCACATCAAGAGCATCATAATATCAACCAGAACTAACAGTGATAACATCACCAGCAGCTGAAAATCTTTGATAATCTACAATACAAATATTCAATATGCCCATTTTATGATATGTTCATAATTTATTTACAAAAAAATGATATTTTTCTTTAAATTTTACAACTATCAGTCTGATTGGTTCTTTAGTGATTCAGTCTGCTTAAGGACCAATGTGGATTGTTCACCTCTCTGAAGCCCTCCTTCCAAATCCAGTCCCTCAAGGTCAACAATCTGATAATGCCACTTTCTTTCTGCACAGAATTATAGACATTAGACGTATAGAGTGATCTAGTATAGTGGGATAAAATATAAATATAAGATTAATATTACAAAGAACATAAAAACCACTACAAACAAATAAAAAGAAAAACCAGAAAAGAAAAAAAAACAGAAGAACAAAAGAAAATAGGACAAAAGAAATAGGAAGATAAAACTTTGGATTGCTTTTCCAGCAAATGTAAGCACAATTAAATTATTAATAATTAATTAAATTTGTGATCACAAAAAAAGCTCACTCTTTTCTTTTTTTTTTTTTTTAAATATAGTTTATTAATTTTTACAATTAAAACCAGAGCTCACTCTTTTCTATTATCCCATTTTTTTCTAATCAAAACTACAAACTATGAGTGCATTTTTCCACTTTATGCAAACATTCTATAAAGAGAACCTAGTCAGTCATGACTCTTGCTGGAAATGTTGGTGATAATCATCTATGAACAAAATGGAATATAATAAATAAAAATAAATGTAGAAATTAATTCCAACAAGGTTGATCAAACCATAAATTTGTAAGATATAAAATAGATGAAACCTAACAAGGGACCATACTGCTTAGAAATTGAACTAACTTTTTGGGAGTGGAGAGCAAAGAAATCTATTTCTATATTTATATTTATTTTATTTGTTTGTCAAACATGTACAAGATAACAAGTATATGTATGCACATAAACATGAACAAAGGAAGTAAATACAGATAAATGGGGACAGTAAGACAGGGATGATAGGCACAATGGTGCGCTTATGCACGCCTCCTTTATGGACCTCTTAGGAATGGGGTGAGGTCCATGCTAGACAGTTTGAGATTGAAGCTGCAAGGGTTTGAGGCTGTAACAACAGTCAGGTAGAGCATCCCAGGCATTGACCACTCTGTTGCTGAAGTCATATTTTCTGCAATCAAGTTTGAAGCGGTTTACCTTGAGTTTGTATCAATTGATTGCCTGTGTATTATTGTGGTTGAAGCTGAATAAATCGTTGACAGGCAAGATGCTATAGCAGACAATTTTGTGAATTATGCTTAGATCGGACTGCAGGCAGCGCAGTTCCAGATTGTCCAGGCCCAAAATTTCAAGCCTGGAGGCATAGGGAATTGTGAGTGGAGGAGTTGAGTGGAGTACTTTTCTCAAGAAATACCTCTGAACTGGCTCAATTGTGTTAACGTCCAATGTACAGTGCAGGTTGCAGACAGACGAGCTGTATTCGAGATCTGATCTTGAAAGGTTTTATAATATTTGTTAGCAAGCAAACTCACAAAATTAACTCACAACACACCATGTATGTAAATATTAAATTTTTTATTAAAAAAGAGCAACTTTTACCCAAAATCAGACAAAGCAGGCAGGCAGATTGAGTTGCTCATAGAATCACAGATTCACTTAGAGATCTGTGTTTGTGCCATCGGCTATCTGAGTCTACAACTGAATAATAGAACCTTCAGTCCTAAGGGAGGTTCGGCTCTGCTTAAAAGCTGAGCCGAAGATCTAAAGATTAGCTAGAAAGCAAAATATCCAACTATTTCCTGCTTTCTAGCTAATTTAAATCTCCCATACAGCAGAACAGCTGATGGTCGGGGGAAAAAAAAGGAAAAATAGCAAATTAGCAGGCAAGTTTTCTAGGTAAGGAGTGAGTGGGCGGGGAGGGTTTCTGCTGGCCATGTGGGTGTTGCAGCCTTGTGTTCCCATGCAGCCTGGATTAATTGCTTTGGGAGGTGCTCTGGGGGTGACATTTCTCTGCGGACCACCAAAATTTTCTCGTGGACCACTGTCCTAGTTAACAATTCAGTGTTGCCAGAGAAGAAGCTTCGCAAAATAAGGTTAACAATTCTTCGCAAAATAAGGTTAACAATTCTTTAAAGCCTTTTTGGAAATGCTGTTACAATGAGCTCTGGGGCTTCGATCATTTGAGGTAAGTACTTCTAAGACCTTGGCAGAGTGAGGGCCGTCTACCAGAGTCTTTCTGCCGAATTTGTATTTGATGTTCTGATTTTTTTTGCCAATGTGTAGGACAGAGCATTTGTTAGTTGAAATTTGGAGTTGCCAATTGCACGACCATTCTGACACATAGTCAAGGTTGTTTTGTAGGGCAGCAGCATTGTCGGTGGTGTTAAATAATTTTACATCATCAGCAAAGAGGACGCAGCTGCTTTTAATGTTGTCACATAGGACATTGACGTAAAGCAGAAAGACTATGGGTCCTAAGACGCTGCCCTGGAGACACTGCTATTAACTGGTGCTGGATTTGATAGGGCCTTCTCTATTTTGACTATTTGTTGCCTGTTTGACAGGAATGTAGTTATCCACTTGTGCAGGGGTCTGGAAATGCCGTAAGAATGAAGTTTCAGCAGTAGTTTGTCATGCACCACTGAATCAAAGGCTTTGCAGAAGTCTATGTAAATTGCATCTATTGCTTTACCCTGGTAAATGTCCAAATGTTTCTGTGGTATAGGAGTTGCAGATTTCAGGACAAATTTTTCCTGAAACCAAACTGCTTGTTACAAAGTAGGTTATTTGTTTCTAAGTGTAGGGTGATGGATTGATTTATAATTGATTCCATGACTTTTACAGGTGACGCAACACAGTAAGATTGGTCTGTAATTTTCTGCTAGACTAGGGTCTCCCTTTTTAAAAATATGTATGACCGTGGTTAATAAGCATAAGTTGGAGTGTCCTTGAGAAGAATCCTGTAAGACTTAGGACAAAAACTGATGGAACTGATTTAGCGGCAATTTCTTAGAGAGAATGTCAAATTGAGGCTTGGCTTTTTACTTTTACTTTTGTTTTCATTGAACTTCTATTGTGATCTAGTAACTGTAACTAGACTGGTTTCTCCTTTTATATTTATCCAATTTTTCTTTCTTTTTTCCCCCTTTTGATTGTTAATAGTTTTTTTTTTTTAGAATAGAGGCTCCCTTTAGTAATTTTTTTTCCTTTTAAATATATATATATACATGTATATTTCCCTCTTTTTCCTAGGCTTTTTGGGGAAAGAAGGGGGAGTGGACTAAAGAAACTTTGTAACACTGCCAACTAGAGGCTTGAAAATACTTTATTGAAAGTTGAAAAAGCTGTGAAGGAATCCTTTCTCAAGGACACTGGAACTTGATTAGATAGAGGGAAGAACACCGGAGAATGTTTTAACAGGTGTTCTTTGGAACTTCTATTATTGAGTACTTGAAGTTTGGCTTTGGAATTTGTGGAGAAGCCATAATAAGAGCCTTGGATAACTAAATAAGATGCAGTGTGCTCTCTTTCTTATCTTTCTTTAGCTGTTTCATCCCTCCTCCTCAACCCCACAGTATTTTGTAATATTTGTATATCCATTTTCTTTTTCTTTTGTTTGACTTTATTTTTAATTTTTAAACTTACTTTTTTTTTAAAAGGGAAAGCCTCAGAATAGCTTTTCTTTTTCTTTTTGCTTATTGGGATTTTTGCCTTTTCTATTTTTTATTTTCATTTTTTATTTATTTTTATGGTTATTTTTTTTATTTTTTGAGATCCTACAATTGGACTAGGGTGTGAAGAACCTAAAGAATTCTTTCTTTTTCCTTTTTTTTTTATCATTGTTTTTTAATATTATTGGGTCTTACTCTCTTTTTCTTTTTTACTATTCTTAATTTTTATTTTTGAATCATAATTGGCCATCTTACAATAGGATTAAGGTCTAGAAGAACCTGAAGAATCTCCTTCTTTTTTTTTTTTAATCTTCTTTTTCTCCTTCTCTTTTTAATCCTGGACTCTTTATTTTTTATTGGCTTTTTTTTTAATGTTTTTCTTCTTCCCAATTGGATTATAATTGGCTACCCTACTGATTGGATTAAAGGAGCTTAAAGAACTTGAGTTATTCAAATGAGTAAGAAAACTTTACCTCCTGGCAGTTCAACTTCTGCTCCTGCTTCTCCATCAACTGGAGGACGACTATCAATAATGGCGAAGCAAGATAAAGTACAAATGGATCTAGCAACGATTATACAAGGAATACAAGAACTCAAAACAAGCATTGACCAAAGAACAGAGAGTATTGAACAAAGAATTGCAAAGACTGATGAAAAAATTGAAAACTTTCAACAGATGATGGCAAAACAGGAGGAGAGACTCCAAAAAATTGAGGAGAAAGATAAACAAAGAGATGAGACAATTGGAAATATTGTTAGCAAATTAACAACGGTGCAACAAGATATAACTGGGATGTTGAAGTGGGAGATGGATAGGTCAGAATTTTATCTCAGATTTCAAAATATTGAGGAAGAAAAAGGACAGGATTTGGCGGCTGTAATGATAGAAATTCTGGCTGGAGCCTTGAAGATAACAGAGGAAAAGATGATGGACGGAGTAGATGAGATATATCGTGTTTTTACAAGATATGCAATGAGGAAAAAGCTACCAAGGGAGATCCATGTCAGATTTACTAAGAAGACTATTAAAACACAAATATTACAAGTCGCAAGAGATAAGGGGCTGAAATATAAAGGTAAAGAGATTATGGTTTTAAAACAAGTCCCCAGAAGAGTGAGAGAGATGAGAAGAGAATATCGATTTTTGACCAAAAAATTATTGGAAAAAGACGTGAATTATAGATGGTTGATCCCAGAAGGATTAATGTTTATATGGCAAGAACAGAGACACAGAATCGACTCAATTGAGAAAGCAGAAATATTCCACAACAAATTTTTTGGAAGAAGAGAAATAGAGACAGAAAAAGAAACCTTTGCAATTGAGCCTCAAGAAGACCAGATGAGATCGGGGAAGGAAGAAGGTGCGGTA